GGGGAGGTAGCTTATGAGCTTGTTTTGCCACCCAGCTTGTCGAGTGTGCATCCGGTATTTCATGTTTCTATGCTCCAAAAGTATATTAGGGGTCCGTCTCATGTTCTGGATTTCAGCACGGTTCAGTTGGATGGTGATTTGACCTATGATGTGGAGCCAATGGCTATTTTGGATTGTCATGTTCGAAAGTTAAGGTCAAAGGATATAGATTCGGTGAAAGTGCAGTGGAGAGGTCAGCCCGTGGAGGAGGCTACCTGGGAGACCGAGCGGGAGATGCGTAGCAAATATCCTCACTTGTTTGAGGCTTCATGTATGTTTCTTGACTTCTTTGAGGACGAATGTTTGTTTAAGTTGGGGAGGATGTGATAACCCGCCCCGTCGTCTCATGAGTCACCACTCCATTTCCCCTATTTCTGCGTCTTATTGCTTTGTCTTATGGTTCTATATGTGATCGGGTTGATTGGTTCGGGTTCAGAGAGGAATTGGTAAGGTTTGAGTCACTTAGTCTCTTTTGAGGAAGCTTAAGTTGAAAAAGTCAACTAAATATTGACTTATGTGTTAGAGGGCTTGGATGTGAGTTCCGATGATTCGGATAACTTCGGGAGGTGATTTGGGACTTAGGAGCGTGATCGGAATGAGTTTTGGAAGTCCGAAGTAGATTTAGGCTTGAATTGGCGAAATTTGATTTTTGGCGATTCCCGGTTGATAGGTGAGATTTTGATATAGGAGTCGGAATGGAATTCCGAGAGTTGTAGTAGTTCTGTTGTATCATTTGGGATGTGTGTGTAAAATTTTAGGTCATTCGGACGTAGTTTGGTTGGGGTTTTGATCAAAAGCATAATTTAGAAGATTTTGGAAACTTAGGCTTGAATCCGATGAGTTTTGGTTGATTCAATGTTGTTTGAGGCGTTTTGAAGATTGGTATAAGTTTGAATAAGGTTATGGGTTATGTTTGTGCTTTTGGTTGAGGTCCCGGGGGCCTCGGGGTGATTTCAGATGGTTGACGGAGAGTTTGGAAATTTTGAAGAAGCTGCAGATTTTCTGCTTCTGGTATTTCTGCACCTGCAGATTAGGGACCGCAGGTGCGATGCCGCAGATTCGAAGAAAAGGACCGCAGAAGCGAAAAAGGTCAAGGCTAGCTGAAACCGCAGAAGCGGGCGAGGAGGCGCACCTGCGATGGCGCAGGTGCAGTATTTTGAACCGCATAAGCGGAAACTGGTCGAGTAAGTGGAAACCGCAGATGCGGCGCTTAGGACCGCAGATGCGGTAGATTGACCGCAGGTGCAAAAAGGCCTGGGTGAGAATGTATATATTTCTTCCTTCGCGATTTTCAGAGGGTTTCACCATTTTTAAACGCGAATTCTAGAGTTTTGGCCAATTTTGAAGAGAGAATTCAAGGAAACTTCATTGAGGTAAGGATTTTGGACCTAAAACTCATTTCCATGGTATTATTTCACGGATTAGAGGTGTAAATAATGGAAATTAAAGGCTAAAAATTGAGAATTAGGGATTGAGATTAAGAGACTTTTAGATGGGAATTTGAGGGGTCATTTGAACTCCGATTTCAGTGTTCTTGGTATGTATGGACTCGTGGAAGGATAAGGAATCTGTTGATGCGATTTTTACCAAGTTTAGAGATGTGGGCCCGGGGGTCAGGTTTTGGAAATTTCGAAATTTTTGGTATTAATTGATTATTTTCGCTTGGGCTTCGTTCCCTTAGCATATTTTGACGTCATGATTCTGATTTTGGATAGATTCGACGCGAGTAGAGGCCGATTCGAGGGGCAAAGGCATCGCGGAGTAGTATTTCCACCGGGTTGAGGTAAGTAACCATTGTAAATCTAGAACTGAGGGTACAAAACCCCGGTATTTGACTTATTTTGATAAATGCGGTGACACACATGCTAGGTGACGAGCGTGTGGGCGTGCACTGGTAGGGATTGTGACTTGGTCAGTCCCGTAACGACTATTAAGCCGCGTATTTGATTTGGAATCTTATGATATTCCGTACTTTAGTTATTTATATTATATTATGGGTTGTATGCCATGTTTGGGGCCTTGTGCCGACCTGTTGAGACCCTTAGGGGTATTTTTACTGTCTTTCCTCACTCTACTTGTTTGAAAGCATATCCTCAGTCATGTTTTACCTGTTTATTGTTTAAAACTTGTTTTATCACTCTATTTCTTTAATGTGAGGACTGTTTGGACTAAGTTCCCTAACTTTTACTATTGTGCCCGAGAGGCTGTGAGGTTAATGACTGAGAGAGGTTGAGAACCTAATGGTGAAGATATTTATTTATGTGTGAATTATGGATCGGGCTGCACGTCGCAGCGATACTTATATGGATTGGGCTGCACGCCGCAAAGATATATATTGGATCGGGCTGCGCGCCGTAGCGATATGACGTTTGGGCTGTAGGAGCCCCTCTGGAGTCTGTACACCCCTAGTGAACGTAGTCGACTATAAATTACGGATCGAGCTGCACGTACGCAGCGGTTACTATGGTTATTAGTATTATGAGATATTAATGAGCCTGAGTGCTCAGATTGTGTACTGAGTGACGAGAGCGGAGTCACGAGTGACTGAGAGACTGCCTGAGAGGCCATGTTTTGAGTGATACCTTGCCCGAGGGGCCCAGCTGTGATAGTTTTTCACTGATTTCAATCTTTTTTTAAAATAAGCCTTTGTTGAAAATGTGCTAAGTAAATGATTTCAAGTATTCCAATTGAAACTGGAGTTTTTATGATAAAGCTGGTTTATAAACTGTGGAATTTGACCTGTTATATTGTTGTTTATTCTCTTATATGATTTTAACTGCTCGTCACTTCTTTCAGACCTTATTTACCTTAGTTACATACTGAATTGGCGTACTCGCGTTACTCCCTGCACCTTGTGTGCAGATTCAGGTGCTCGAGCGGCAGAGTGAGGGTCGACAGCTTATCCAGAGTTTTCTGGAGATTGCAAGGAAGCTGCATGGCGTCCAGCCCTGCTTTACTCCTTCCTATCTTGTTCCTTTTTCCGTATTTTAAGACTATTGATGTATTAGACAATCGGTTGTGTATTTAAAGGCTTTAGACTCATGACACCAGATGTTTGGGCTGTGTTTTCTTATGTTTTATTGACTTCCGCATATTTCAATTATTTTAAACGTTTCTTATAAAAATTGGTATTCAAACCCGTGTTAGAAAAATAATTTTATGAAAGGATATTTGTTGTGGTTATATGGTTAGGTTGACTTGCCTAGTAATGTGATAGGCGCCATCACGACCGGGCTTTTGGGGTCATGACATGTCTGAGGGGATGATATTACCCGTATCGGACCGTATCGCTCCGAATTGGGTGTAAGGGTAAGGGATTTGAATAAATTGTAAGGGTAATGAAAAAAAAAACCGTAGTACCGGTCCAGTTGGTACCCTTAAGGTACCAGACCGGTCTGCACCGGTACCGGTACCCTTATATATATATATTTTTTAAAATGTGGACGTTTTTGCACTGTTAGCCAATGGTTATTTTAAAAAAAATAGTTGTTGGCGACGGCTAAAAATGGCTATTTTTGCCTCCCTAGCCTCCTAACACTCCCTCTGCGCCTTAATTTATATTTTACTCTAAGTTTGTTTAAATACGCTTTGGCCCTATTTTAAAACTATAAATACCCCATTTCATTCATTCAATGTTCACACAAAACTCTCATATCTCTCTAATTCTCTATCTCTAATTGCAATTAACGTTCTAGCACTCATATTAATTTTCATATTTAGTTTTGTTATATTTGTATTGCTATTTCTTGTAATTTTAGTTATTTATTATTAAAAATGGTTCCTAAACTAGTAAAAAAAGTGTGTAATATATTGACTAAGGGTAATGCTAAGAAGGGGGTCCTCGTTTTGAAGTAAATCCTAGCCAATCCGATTTTAGGCGTTACATACAAGAAACGTATAATCTTGATTTTCAAGGTTTTCCTAGAACAACTGTAAAAAATCGTATTTGCGAATATGAAGGAAATGAAGACTCGTTGAAATAGTGGAAGAGAAGAAACTCTGGCCTTCCAGAAATAATTCATGAAGACGACGATGCCTATGTGAAATACTATCTAGCGGAGACATCAGGGACGCAAAAGAATAAGTAATATCAATTACAAGCGAAGAAGCAATAGAAGTTATTAAAATATTCATGTAAATTATAATTTTATTTTAATAAGCATTGAAATAAAAGTATTGAATTTTTTTATCAATTAAAGTTTGTTTGTATTTAAATATAATTTTTTTTATTTTTAATTTAAAATTATTCCTAAGTATCGGTACCGCACCCTTAGTACCGGTAAAGGTATTAGTGGGGTACCACTAAAAGTAACCTTACCCCATACCCTTAAATTTTCTTAAATAAATACCCTCTAAGGAATCCTCCCCTTACCCTTATCATACCCTTAAATCCTTGATCCGTAAGGGAAAATTTTATTTTGTGTCTCATACAATTGACACTAGTTGTATGAGACATCTTTTTTGTCTCGCAGTTTTGTGGACCCAGAAGTGTAAGATTGGGGTCCACAAATTTGTGAGACAAAAAGGAGCCTCATACAGCTAGTGTCAGTTGTATGAGACACAATAAAACTTCTCATCTTTAAGAACAGTTTATGTGAACCTATTTTCTTTTTGGTCCGTTCAAAAAAAAATGACCCATTTCTAAATTTGGTAATAATTTAGCTTAAACTTATAATTTTACCTTTAATAAGGAGTTTTTATAATAACACAAATACTATGAGTTCCTTTTTGACTTATTTAGGATCATAAATTTTAAAAGTTTTCATTTTTTCTTAAATTATGTACCCAATCAAATAAGTTCATGTGAATTGAGACGGAGGGACTATTATTTTCTGCATAACATAGTTCAATTAGAGATAAGACACGTAAGCACTTACACACGAAAATTACAAGAATGTCCTTGGTCGGGCAGTACCAAACGAGTTTTCTTGTGGCAAAATTCCATGATATTAAAGAAAAATGAAAGAAGAAAAAATCTGGACACAGATATCTTATCATATTAGAAAAGCTCTGTTAAATTGTTTCTTTGGCGGTGAATGGAGCTCTCCGCTGTTTGTTCGCGAAGCTTTGGAGGAGGTACTCTTTACTCTCTCCTCCCTCTTTTCATAATTTAGTGTCTTCTTCACTCTCACTGGAGTTTTCGGTTTGGTTAAGAATAGAATTTTATAAATTGGGGGATTGCTCTTCTGCGAGACGTGTTGTTTCATGAATTGGTTTATACTTTTGTCAGTATCTTGTAAAATGGTTGCCTCATTATTTTCATTTTACACTTTATTGATGGAAATTTGGTATGAAAACAGTTAGTCCCAATAGCTGATTTTATACTGAGGGACATCTATAGAAGAAATCATGGCCTAGTGTGAGTCATGCTATATTACAATAGTTGTTCGCTGATACCTTCTTCTCGGTTCCTTCTTCCATAACTAGAGCTCGGGCCCTATGTTAACATGGAAATTTACATGTTTGTTTCATTAATTTAATTAGAAAAATGGGTTTTTGACTTGGATAAGTCCGCAAAAATGTGAATGCTAAGCTTGTTAATTTAAAATTAAGAAAACAATAATGACTAGAACAAAGACAGACGGGGAAGTCTAAATGTGTCAAACTCCAAACTACCTGCAGTTAGTTACGCTCCAAAGTTTAATTGCATTGGAATGCATTTGGACTCTACTATGGGTTTCTGCTGCAAAATGTAATTTTATGTATGGGTTGAAGAAGGGGTTGAAGTTCCTACTTGTCTCATTGAAAAAATGCACAAGATCTGTTGAAACACTCCTATTGTGGAAGATCATCTTGTCTAATCTTGTAGTCACATAGCTGTTTTATTTGTTTTTTTTTTCTTTTCAAAATGGACTGCTCTTTCTCTTAAACAGATGGGCATGCTGGCTTGCCTTCTGATCGTATTGGAGTTCGTGCAAAAGTGATCTATGCTGCTGCTCCCGCAATGGGTCATAATCAGGTAAAGTAAATCTACTTACTATATGCATTATGAAGCTAGCTTTGGGGTTCCAAGGAATCATTTACTTTATAGCATCTTTTCTTAAAGCTGTCGTGGACCCAGCTCATGCCGAACAACCTTTTATATTGCTTACCCACCAAAAGAGTTAAACTAAAGTTATTTAAGCTGTTAAAGTCTTGATCAATTGCCAACCTTGCTTGGCATATGGCTTGTGGAGCAAGGAACCTGGACTTCTATATTTAGTCTGTTATGCTTAGCAATTCTACACTTAATTATGTGCACGTGTGGGAAGCAGATAAGTGAGAACAATAGAGGCTTAGAGTGTAATTGTTGATTTCAAAATGGCTACTTATTCTTCCAATTGTAAAGAAAAATGTATGCACACGTCTACTTCAAAGTCTGTCATTATTCCAACCTACTTTTGTTAGAAGCATAAGTAATGGCCTTACTCTGGATGATAGTTTGGGGAGTGACAATTAATACTCTATGTTGCCTTTGTCAAGCTGCCAGAGAATCAAATGAACATTTTTTTTTGGGTGCGCTCATACTAAAAACGCTGTGATTTGAGTATTATAACATCTGTTTCTCTCTAAAAGCAGTGGAACCTGGCCAAGAGAGCTCTGATGAAATTCACAAACATTTAGCTTCCATCAATGAGAAGTAAAAACTTAGCTGTTTTCACATTACATTTATTTTCACTCAGACAATGGAGCCAATCTTGAGCAACTCTGATGAAATTCACATATATTTCAAGTTAGAGTGCATGTATATGTATAAGTTTTCTCACTCATAAGATTTTGATTCATCGGCACGGGCAGCAATCTTCCCACATCAATTGCAATATCCTCTTCATAAGAATCATCAGCCGCTAAAAATAGACAAAAAAAATTGATAACTACAGAGAAAGAGTAAGAAAAAAGTTGACATAATACATCTCAATAAGAATAAATTTTACCTCCATGTCCATAGAGCCAATGTTGAGCACACAACTTAGCTTCTGCAGTTTTTGGTAAGATTGAACTTTGATAGTTCTCAATTACTTGTCCTCCAATGCTGAACTTTGGTTCAGACACAACAATACTAATAGGTATACTTAAAACATCTCGAGCCATCAGTGACAACTCAGGGTATCTAATGCACTATTAGATGTTGGGGATCTCATGTACTCCTTAAGCAATCAATGCAAATTATCTTCAATAACCTTCGTCTTTTCATTAAACAAGTTAAAGAATCAAGCTTTGAAAAGCAAAATTTCATAAACTTTAACTTGTATCGAGGATCGAGAACAATTGCCAATGATAAAACTAGAGTATACTCGTGCCAGTAGTTTGAACATTTCTCTTCCATTTTTCCAGCCATGATGATATCAGGATGTTCACTATTTTTCTCTTCCTTTATCAACAAATGAATGTTTCACACTTTATGAAAAAAGAAGTTAGCTGTCGGATATTCGCTTCCCGAAAACAAAGTAGTGATTTCATCAAAAGGCTTTAGGAATTTGGCAATTGTTTCTGCCTTATCCCAATCCATTTCTGAAGGACAATATTTCAAATCCGCACCAACTGGTTTGAAGTCAAAAAAAGCCCGACGATATGGAATAACACACTCAAGCATAAGAAAAGTATAGTTCCACCTCGTCGGCACATCTTGACGCACTTTCTCAATCAACTTCAATCAAAGATTTTTGATACAGTCTACAACCTTTTTATCCTTTACTCAGAACCTTTCACTTATTTAATACTTTCTCTTATGTTAAAGATTGCAACATCTATTGACTTTAGACTTGCTTTAACAATCGGATTTAAAATGTGATTTGCACAACGAATATGGACAAAGTCCCCGTTACATACAAAGAATCCATCGAGTTCACGTGCTTTTTGAAACTATCCACAATTTTCTCATTATAAGTTGCATTATCTAAGGTTATCGTCCACTCCTGTTTTCCTTGGCGATGGACGCATTAACGAGACACATTTAAGGTGAGGTGTCATGGTGTATGTTATTTGCTGATGACATTAATTTTAATTGACGAGATGCGGGGTGGTGTTAACGAGAGGCTGGAGGTTTGGAGGCAGACCCTAAAGTCTAAGGGTTCAAGTTGAGCAGGACCAAGACGGAATACTTGGACTGCAAGTTCAGCAACGGTACCCAGGAAGAGATATGAAAGTGAGGCTTGATACGCAAGTCATCCCCAAGAGAGGTAGTTTCAAGTATCTTGGATCTATAATACAAGGTAACGGAGAGATTGATGAAGATGTCACGCATCGTATCGGAGCAGAATGGATGAAGTGGAGGCTTGCTTTCGGTGTCTTGTGTGATAAGAATGTGCCGCTGAAACTTAAAGCTAAGTTCTACAAGGTTGTAGTGAGACTTACTATGTTGTATGGAGCAAAGTGTTGGCTGCTCAAGAACTCTCATACCCAAAAGCTAAAAGTAGCTGAGATGAGGATGTTGGGGTGGATGTATGGGCATACCCAGTTGGATAAGATTAAGAATGAAGTTATTCGGGAAAAGGTGGGAGTGGCCCCTGTGGAGGATAAGATGCGGGAGGCAAGGTTGAGATGGTTCGAGCATGTTAAGAGGAGAAGTATAGAAGCCCTAGTTAGAAGGTGCGAGCGGTTAGCCTCAGCGGGTAGTAGTAAAGGTAGAGGTAGGCCTAAGAAGTCTTGGGGAGAGGTTATTAAGCGAGACATGGCGCAGCTGGAGCTGACTGAGGACATGACCCTAGACAGGAGGGTGTGGAGCTTAAAGATTAGGGTAGAAGGTTTGTAGGTAGTCGAGCGTTTCTCTTTTAGTGTTAGTATGATATCTTTTATCCATAGATGGCTATTACCACCTAGAGTTTGACTGCATTCTTGGATTCAATCTTATTTTATCTTGCTGTTATTCCTACTTGTTGCAATTACCTTTTCTTTTTCAGTCGTTCTCTAGTCGAGGGTCTATCGGAAACAACCTCTTTGCCCTTCCAGGGGTAGGGGTAAGGTTGCGTACATCTTACCCTCCCCAGACCCCACTTGTGGGTTACTACTGGGTTTGTTGTTGTTGATTCCCCACTCCTTCAAGAAATTAACCAATATCGGTCCAAGAATTTGGCTAGTATGTGAAGGAGGCACATGCAGAATATTGTAAAATACAATTTAAGTCGACAAAATGAGCCGTCAGATAAAAATAACCATTTAAGGTAATTGATGTCCACAAATCAGTAGTCAAGCATATTCATCGTGAACTACTCCTTTTTGCTTCTAATATAATTTTAAAACATCAACCTTTGAAAAACTGTGTTCCATCGTGACAGTGGGATTCAAAAAACTGTGTATTCCTCTTATCTCTTCATATTCCACAAATCTAAAAGGTAAGTTATGCCTTACTACAACTTTGGCAATCAATTCACGGAACATTTCACTATTCACAGCTGGATAACAACATGATTATGACACATTGCTATGACGCTTAGCTCGGTGGCTCTTTAAATTTGAAGTTCCACCAATTGAATCAGCCAAATATACCACCACAATCTTTACACTTTGCCCTCAATCTATTATCCGGATTGATGTCAAGTGGTAACTTCAAAAAAATATTCCGTACTACAGAAGTCCTCCTGCATGCACTTGTCGAGCTTATTTAAGTAGATTTTTCGACTTCATCTATATGCTCCATAAACTTTTTTAAAAAAGTAAAAATCAGCTCTTTGACAGCTTAAGAGCAAAGCATATAGCTAGATATAAGAGCAAATATTATCTGGAAATACTTTGAGTTTTGAGCTCATAGAAACCCTAAATAAGAAATAAACAGTAGATTCAAACACTCAATTCACGAATGATAACAAAATCCACACAAAAATTAAATCAGCACTTTGAATGATAAAGAATCAAAGAGAAAGATTAAAGGAGGAGGAGAATGGAGTGGAAGAGCGAAAAATAGTAGTCTAACCTTGTGTCGTTTGAGAAATCGAGGATGAAGGAGTGGGAGAGTGGAAGAGAGTAGTCTGTCTCACCTTGGTCATCTGAGAAATCGAGAGATAAAGAGCGTATGTTTTGTTTATTTGACCCATTGGGTTGGGCTACATATTTCGGTGGGTCATTATGGGTCCAACCCATTTTGATCCATTGGCTTTTTTATTATTGATCGAACCCGTTCAACCTTGGGCGGGTTACAATTTTTTGGGTCAAAATTGCCACCCCTATGTGCACCCAGTGTTTCAGCTTCCTACTTTTTCTTATATTTGACTGATGTTTCCCTTCTTAGCTATGTTATGGTTTTGGTGCCTGTTTTCCTACTCAATATCCGTCTATTCTGCAATCACTGAGAAATATGTTTTATAGTGCAGGTTGTGCCTCTAATGCATCATGTTCATTTCCTGCTTCCAAGCAAATTGTTTGGAAGAGAATGTGTTCCTCTTTGGACCGGATGTGGTTTGGGACGACTTCCTGAAAGGTATTTAAGTGATTAGTAATATTTTTCTTTTTGCATGCTTCCACTGATGTAAAGATAGATGTGTTTCATAGTTTCTAGTATGTCGTGTGACTTCCGTGGTTATTGCATGGTTAATGGTACAAGGGAAGCTGCAGCAGTTCAAGAAAAAATTTATTTTTCTCGAAACTTGATTGTGCTATATCTTAGTGCACCTTCCCCGGAATGGAATTCTAACTTTTATTCCAAGTTACACTATGCCCTCCTATACTATGACTTGGTCATGCAAAGCGGCACTTACTATAGACACCTCCAATTAGTTTCGACGGTCTTACACTTCTCCACGACCATAGCAGCCAGATAAGAACCAAGTAATCAAGTAAATAACAGTATAAGAAAACATACACTCTTTATAAGGGTGTAATCATATTGCTCGCTTGCTTTGCTCACCCATGCTTCCCTCTTTCTGCAGGGCAAGAGCTGGATGCTGCTATGCTGTATCATTAGGTGCAAATGCAAGTCAACTCCCTTCAAAGATTCTGACAGTGGCATGGCTAACTTTTTCTCCTTCTTTCTTAATTAGGAATTGGAGATGCTGAAGTTTCTACTTCTGAATTTGAAGATTTTTCTGTTACCACGAGCGGTGTCAATGGTTCTAACAAATTGAAGGTAAGAATGAGGTAAGATCATGGAAAAGTTGTTAATTTGATTACTTGGTCTATTCATCCATGATATGTATAGAGACAATAGTCTGTGCAGATGAGAAAGCTTGTAAAGGTTTGTCTATAATCTGAAAGTGTCCTCTAATAGAATTCTTTTAATGCAAACGACACTATTCATAAGGAATTTGTTTTACCTCAGTAAGGCAACCATAAAGGGAAACCATGAAGGGAAGGTGTAAATCATCCTTACTACGTTCTTAAGCTTTTTAACACTTGGACTTAATGGTTCTTTGCAGATAAGTGTTAATGTCTCGGGTGCCAAAACTGAAGAGATCTTTGGCAAGGTGTTTTCAAGAATGGTTGAAGATGCTCAACCTATTCCAGGGTTTCGAAGAGTAAAAGGAGGTGAAGCATTGAATAAATTTCTATTTAAGTTACATTAATCTCAAAAGACATCAAGCAGTGGTAGATTCTCTTCCCTGATATTTTGGTTACTTAAAGATACTTTTAATTGGCTTCCTTTGTTACCTTTTTATGTCTGCATTTTTGAGAACTGGTGACCTACTAACTGATTTTTTGCATTGCTCATCTGCATCTCATTTGAACAACTTGGAATCTGTCAGGAAAAACTCCCAATGTAAGTTTCCTTAGTCTTTATCTGTTTTGCTATTGTTCTACATTTATGAATAACATCAATGGAAAAATATATTAAGCATGACCCCAGGACTTGATCTGATAGGAGTTTGAACAGAAATTCATTGTCCATTTTCTCTCCATTTTCCCGAGTTTCGAAGTCTGCAGTCGCTCGTAATGGTCGGCCCCAGACAGATTTCTCGGTCTTCAAAAAAAAAAAAACTTATTGTGAGAAGGCACGGGAGAAAATATGATATATTGATATTGTGTGTGATGCAATACAAGAGGTGCTATTTATAGCTACTCTATACAAAGGGGATACTACTCCTATTCCAATGTGGGACAATTACATAGCTATCTCTAACATTTACATAGCTATCTCTAACATTTACATAGCTATCTCTAACACTCCCCCTCAAGCCGGAGCATATAAATCATATGTACCGAGCTTGTTACATATATAATCAATGCGAGGACTAGTGAGGGACTTGGTGAAAATATCTGCAAGTTGATCATTCGATCTCACAAACTTCGTAGTAATATCTCCTGAGAGTATCTTTTCTCTGACGAAGTGACAATCAATCTCAATGTGTTTAGTTCTCTCATGAAACACCGGATTTGATGCAATATGAAGTGCAGCTTGATTATCGCACACAAGTTCCATCCGACTGATTTCACCAAATTTC